CCCTCAAAAAAGAAAAAAAAAAAAAGAAAAAAAAGAAAAAGGAGCCTCCTTGTTAGACAGACATCCCAACAATACCTTCAGGGTTCCTTTTAAATCAACTAAAACAATCTGATGCTTAAAATAAAAGACAGGTCATTTTCCCAATCAGACTTTAGTCAAGAATATATATATATTTGTTTTGTTCCTGGGGTGGGAGGGCAGGGAGAGAAGGTAATGTTGCCAGTAGTTCACAGCAGTTTTCGGTTCTCTCATTACACAGTATATAGAACTGCATTGCTGAAGACACTCAACACACAGCAGGGCTAACTAGAAGAATACAACTCAAGGCTAGCAAAGAGGAGAGGGCAGAGAGAAAGAGAGAAAGTAGTGAGAGTATCCGACAGGGCTGGAGTCCTCTGTGCATAATTTACATGGAAAACACGGTGGTGGCCTCCGTCCTGGTGCCAGCGCGGGCTGCCGTGCACGGCTGGCAGAGCGAAGGGACTAGACCCGCTGGCCCTGTGGCGGGGGGAGCCAGAGCGAGTCGTTGCAGATGTGTGTTCTCAGCTGACAAACTTTAATTTTTTTTTTTTTTTTTTAAAAAGAATCGCAGCCAAAATAAGACAGAACTGCAAAATCCCAAAGTGGCCGCTTTTACACTATTTATAAAAACATGAACAGTCACTAATGGGGCAGAGCGGCGCTCCGCGCACAGCCCACTATACTTTCCCAGGAATTTTGGCCCGTTTGCGAGCAATGGCATCTTCCACTGCTTTGAGCTGCTTCAGGAGCTCCTCCCGTCGCGACAGCGTGCTAGACTTGCCCGCCTTGGCGCCCGTGGGGCCTGGCTCGGACACTTTGCCTGGTACACTCGTGACTTTGCTGGAGCTCTTGGACTGGGGTGACAGCTGGCGTTTCCTGGCAAGGAGAGAAAGGCACAAGGTGGTGAGAAGGGTGTTTGCTGGCAGGATGTAGCCTGCTCCAAAACAGTACAAATATGATGGAAAGAAAACCAACCAGTGCCTACTCTGCAAGAAAGCATCGCTCTAAGCATCAGTGGAAGAGAACAGGTTTGAGAGGTGAGGCTCGTTTGGTAAACCAGCTGAAATGGTAAAGGATCAGCTGCCTCGGGGGAATCCTGAATTTAAACTCGGTACCACAGCCTCTACGACAGCAGCCCCCAAGGGCCGCGTCAGCTTGCTGCTATTAGGAGCAGCCCACACAGATGCGCGCGTGCAAGGGAGCTCACAGCATAAAAACGAACACCCCAAAGGCCAAGAGGGGAGAGGAAAGCGCAGTATCACAGTTAAACACAAGACAGCCTTGCAGGCTCATGGTCTCAGCTCTTAGCGGCCCCTGCCCTGCAGCTGGGTGCCTGCGACAGCTACTGCGTTGTAGCATAGATCTCGCTGGCATTAGTGGGGAGCCCTCCGCCCTCCCACTCACCCCACGCTGCCGTTCTGCTCCTGTGGCGTACTGCTGCAGTCCAACACCGCTGCTGCGGGAGCAAAGGCTCCCGGGAGAGCAGGCTCCCCTTCCCTGCGCCCAGCGAGCCGGCGCTGGGCTGGAGGAAAGCGGCCTGCAGCTCTTCCTGCTGCGCGTCACCACCGCCCCCCTCGGGGGGAAGAGGATGACAGGACCACGAAGTGGAGTGGTGTCCCACGCCTGCTGCCTCGCAACATGCCTGCTGGGGTTTCACAGCCCTGCTAGCTCAGTAAGGCAGAGGGGCTACACACAGCTTTTGGCAAAGGCACCATCTGAGCTTCAGCTGGCTCCTCCTAACGGCTTGAACCACATGGACTCGTATGGGGAAGCCCATACAGCTGCTGCTGTCATCCTACTGGCAGACGTTGGGGCAGGAGTCGCTGTCCCCTCTGTTAACGCTGCTTGCACACTCGACAGAAGCAGGACTGTGCAAGTATGAATCAAAGCCCCAAAGAGTTCAAAACAGGACGCAGACCTCCAGTTTGGCTGCCCCAGAGAACCCTGTTGTTTCCTCACCCACCCAGTCCCCGAACACAGGGTGTGACCAACCCGACAGGCGACACTGCCAACCCAAACAGCAGTAGGCAGAAGAGGGTCAAGAACCAGGGATGCAGTCAAAAATAAAAGTCTGGATAGGCCGAGGTTCCTCTTCAGCACTAGAAAACAGGACCTCAGGGCCAAAGGAAAGATGGGGCTGCGGTAGCTGGGGCTAGGCTTTGGTTTGGGAAGACTTGACACACAGAAATTGAGGCTCGCTCATGCCCCAGGCTGGGGAGAGGGGATGACACTCATCCTGCTGGCTAAGGAACGCAGCGGTGCAGGACAGGGCTACGTTTGTTGGCTCACGGTCACCCTTGGAGAAATGGAACTAGAGAAATGGAAAGCCGCGTTAGCTGGCCATGGGCAAGGAGGACAGAGCAAATCCTAGGTGCGCGACAAACCTTTAGCCAACAGGCTCTGAGTCGAGCCCAGGCCAAGGCCCCTGAAGCCACACACCCAGTTTTGCGATGGGGTATTCCCAGTGCTAGCAATAGGTGCAAGCGGCCAAGGAACTGGACATGAGCTGGTCATCTGTCACAGGAGGGGATGGACAGGCACAAAGCCAGGGCTAGTCACCATTTAAAATGTGGCCCCTGGATGAGATTAACATCTCACAACAGCAAAGTGAGCGGCTCAGTGTACGCCAAAGCATACAAAGAACAATTGGGCACCAAACCAGAGGCCAAGAAGAGCTTGGCAGCAGGGATGAAGGGGTTGTAGTTTCTGCCTCATTAGCACTACAAGGTGCTAGCAGGAAGCAGAGGCACTGGCATGACTGAGCCTGTATCTAACCCAGTTGGCACCTCTTGCTGAGACTGACCTCAAGACACCCCCCAGACTCCTGCTCTTTACTGAGCTAGAGCAGTCTACCTGGTGGCTTCTGCATGGGCTGAGCCACCAGGAGCTGAACCTCTGAGCACCTGTGGCTCCTCTTCAAGGAGCTTCACGTCCTTCCTCTCTGTGCCTTCACGGCCACTGGAAACTCTAAGGTCAGAGAGCCTCAAAGACACGCCAAGAGGAAGAAGTGAACCACTGGACAAGTGGGGAAACGTGAGCCAGCACAAGTGATTTATATGTGCCAGAGACGCATCAGAAACGCCCACCTTCTCTGTGCGAGTTCCACCTCACCTAGGACAAGCTTTGAGGAGACCACAGGCAGGACTCTGGTTTTCTCCGCAGGCCTTTTAGTTTAGGGAGATGAGGTCCCACCGAGACAAGCCACGGCTTTGGCTTTGGCCCGCAAGCCAGGAAAGCAAGTGGCAACTGACCTGTCTGTCTGAGCAGGAGATGGTTTCGGGTTCTGGCCCCTCTGTCGTTCTTGCTTGGGTGAAGAGAGTCTCCCCGTCGCTTTTCTGTCGCGAGAGCCTATCAGGAAAATGAAAGGTGAGATATTCTTTCCCATTACAAAGGCACAGTGTGCTATCTTGCCTACCATACTGTTTCTGCACTTTAAGGATTGTATCTTGAGAACAGCCAGATCATGCCAGCGAAAGGCCAAGTCCAGCAGCAGCCAGAAAAGGAACCTACTTATCTTCAGGGATGGGGGGCAAAGCGACTAGTCAAGGCTGTGCCACGTGGTCAACTGTACATAACATCACCTGTAGGAAGCTGTACCAGCCCTCTCCTCATGCTCTGGCTCCTGGAACAAGGCTTGTCCACTGTACTTTTAGGCTGTTCTCTGCTGGCAAACCTGTGGGGCAGGGCCTCTCCTTGCAGAGTCAGTGCCCCATTATCCCTGGGCAGATTATCCAGTTTGTGCACAATGGGCATGGAGACACCTGAGCAGGCTTCATGCTGGCTAGCTAACAGGGTGTACTAGCTTAAGCAGTGCTGTGTGAGTGCAGCTCTGCTACTTTTGGAGCCTGCTGGGGCTAATCCACCAGCAACATCACTGTGTGTGTTGAGGGCAGCCCGAAGTGACATGCTGTGCCAGAACGGAGCTGCCCCATCGGAGCTGCGTGGACCGAGGGGTGGTGGAAAGCCAGCTGGGGTCCTGCAACAGCATTATCTAGGTTTTGCCACAATGGGTTTCCCAACAACTGTTATTCCAGAGCATGGACAAGCGACTCTACCTGGAAAGCAGCCTGTATGCCTACAGGGCTGTGTGCGAGCCCTGAAGACCAGCAGAGCAGCACAGCCTGCTACGCTGCACCGGGACAGTACATTCCAGCGGCTGCTGACCTCACTTTCATTAGCGCTCTGGAGAGGAAAAGTGCCCAATTCCTCGGAGCATCAGCCACCTGCCTCGGAGAAAACCAAGGCTGCAGACTCTGCAGATTTTACCACAGTGAAGTCACAGAACAGGGAAGTGAGACTCGAGGCACAAACACAGAGGAGGTTTGCACTGTAATATTTGAGCACAAGCTGCCTATCAGACTGTGCCTCGAGTTTAGACCCGACTCAGCCAAGGGCAAGTTTGTCACTACAAGGTTAGGCTGAGTAACTTCTCAGGGCTCACATCCCATTTGCCATTTGTTTAAAAATACATTATAGTATACTATTTGTTGCTTGTACATATCTACACCAATAAATCAGTGCAGTTTGCTACATCTGCCCATTCACTTGTCTGCAGCTCAACAGTAGTGTGAACTAGATCCTAGTGAACTTCAACCTCACCCAGTCCCTTCCAAGGTGCCTTTGCAGTAGTAAAATGCAACCAGGCTATTAGCACAGAATTTTCTTCTGGCTAGCACCCAGAGTCAACAAGATACACCTACAGCCGAGACATCAGGGAAAACAACACGTGTCAGTGCTGGCTTGTATGACAAACAGAAGCACTTCTGTCGATGACTCCCTCCTTTGCTTTTCTGTAGGGCTAGCAAAGGCTGGAGCATTGCAGTTAGGTCCCTCTCGATGCATCACGCTAGCTTGGTTTTCTGAGGCACTAATATCACTGCTGAGGCTTCAGAGAACACTGGGAAAGCCTGAGTCTTTCTAAACACATGGGGCAGATCAGATTGTGTCACACAAGTGGGGAAATCATCTCATTTCACAGGATGTGCGATCTAGCCAATTACTGCATCCCTCCTGGGGCCTTGGCAGCCTGTGCTCCCTTTCTAAGCACCGCCACAAGCCTTTCTATCAGGAGACAAAGATCCCTTGTATAGAACTACAAGCTAGAAAAGACCTTGAGATACAGGAAGGGAAAGCCCTACAAATTCAACAGCCATATCCAGTGAGAGCATTAGAGAACAGTAGGTCTTCATGGGACAGATGGATGTGTACCTACAGCAGCAATGAGCACGTTGCATCTTCAAAGCAAGGGCTTCTCTTTTTACAGTGGAGTTACACAGACATAGTGGAGCCAAAGCACTTGCAGCGTGCACCGCAAGACAGCTAGGCAAGGTCAGGTTTGGCCTGCCCAGGGCTGACCTCACCACAGTTACTTCACGCTCAAACCTGAGTGTCTCACCTCCACTGTGTTTTTGCAGCAGGACTGCTAATACACCTGTGTTATCCTGTGGCAATCGCACACCTCTGAGGTTACTGAAGGCAGCAGGTTTTGGAAGGATACATGCCTGCAGTTAACCTCTCCAGCAAGTGGACTCTCACAGCGGAGATTTTCACAGGACATTTGTCACCCAAAGCAGGGTGCTCGACGGCTGCCTCTAGTGGCAGGAGTAGGAACCCAGCTATGCCTGACAGCCCAGCGTTGAATCCCTCCGAAGTCTGACGTCTCACCTCTGTCAGGTGACAGGTTAACCCGCTTGGCTGGAGGAGAGGTTGGCCTGTCTTTGTCTGCTGGCTCATATCTCTTCCTGCTTCCTTTGTCAGCTGCCTAAAATGGAATTAAACAGACAACGGAGCTGAATAGCCATCTCCCTGCAGGGAGGAAGAACCGAAGCAAGCAGACATGCTTCTTTTGACGGGGCCAGGGATGTGCTCGCTCACTAATGTAAGCGGGTTCCCTACTAAACCTTCTCAGTGCATGCCAGTCCCGGCCACCATCACTGGGACCATTTAATTCCCTACCACTGTAAGCAAATAGCAACACCCTCTGGCAGCTGGGATATATTCTGGGGCTAATGCTGTGCACTGTTTCATGGGGTATTTTTGTGACAGTCAGAAAGGGGAAAACGGATGTGCTTTTGTAGAGTCTTTTCCAACAGCACCAAGGATAGCAAATGTCAACGAGGCATGTGGAGTCATGCTTTCTTCCAGGATCCTACCATGCCTGTTAGTAGTTGTGTGTAATTGCGTACTCCTCCCCACAGAGGCACCCAGCATGCTTCACCAATTTGATAAAGGCACCTCACGTCACAGGACGGGGAAGTAGGGAAAACTGCGGCCTCAAACCGCACAGTGGAATTTAGGCTGACAAAAAAAAAACATTAACACTTCAAAAACAGGAACCTAACCACATGACTGGAGCCAACACCCTGCTCCAGCACAAAACTTCACGAGGCCAAAGTATTTCACATGATCTTGATTGCATCTCAGCTGAAGGCACCAAGCTGGAGCATCAGGCTCGATCATAACTGCAAGGGAAAGATTCAGGCTTTCTGCGGAAAGTGTGGCTGATGGCAGACTCCTGAAGGTGTGATGGTAGAGGTGAGGCAATTGCCACTTTTACCTCCTGACTCACTGAATGACTTGTCAGCAACTTGCTCTAGAGTGGGCTAGTGGGAGGACAGCTCATTCGGAAGCGTGCGGAGAGCATGCTTTCAGCGGGCAAGGCCCAAGCACATGTGGGAGAACCCACGGCGGGACTGCGCCATGCTTGCCTTCACCTCAGTGCTCTGGCTGCAGCCTTCGAGAAAGCAGGTAACAGCCCTTGAAGCTGCAGGAGGAATGTGCCCCGGGGAGCCGCCAACACAGTCCCAACTCAAGTCACCACAGGGTGTGTGCTGCCAGACAGGTTCGGTCTGCCACCCTTCCAATCCCAGCTGCAGACCTACCCAACTGAGCTCATCCTGACAACATGGAGACTGGAGCTCCCCTTCTGCCAGCCCAGAGTCCTGGTATTGGTCCCGTCCGCACCTCTGACCCACGTGCAGAGGGAATCGCACCCCATCCCACCTCTCACCTTATTCAAGAGCGTCAGTTTGATCTCTTTGTGAGCACTGAAGCCCCCTTGCTGAGACTGGGGGGCTGAGGGCTGCTGGGTCTGGAGTAGCTGCTGTGATTTGCTCCCCTGGGTGGGCTTGGCTGATTTCAGGAGCTGAGCAGACACATCCCGTTTCCGCTTTTCCTCCTTAGTGCTATCTTCTTTTTTCGACTTTCCTGCCGAAACCAGAATGAAGACGTCAGGGATCTGCAATAAGTTCCTTTCGCCTGCCTTTCCTGTGCAGGGCAGGGCAAGATGAAGCTTCAGAGACTGAAAGAGCCCACACTAGTTAGCGTAGCACGCGGCCCCAAGATTAAAAGACCCAGGAAACCAGAATTTTCACAAAGAGAATGCTTAACATAGAAGATGAGGAACAAAAGGCTCTTTCTAGCCCATAGCAGCTTGGAGATAAGAACAGAGGAAGAGCAATATGATACCGCAGTTGTCCAGAAGCTTTAGCATAATCTCACAAGGGTGAAAGAAAACAAGGTAAGAGAGGGAGGAGCATCAAGCAAGATCCCTGTGCAGAAAATGCATCTTTCCAACCACAGATACATGGATGTGTCTGGATGTGAAGGCATGCTTGCTCCACAGCCTCCCCCGCTCCATGCTTTCACCCTGCTCGGGTGAAGCCTCTGGACTCCTCTAGCCTATAGGAGACATACGGTAGCCAAAACTTGTGTCAACCCCTGCCCAACAATTTTCCCGGAGGCTGTCTTATCACCAAGAAAACTGTATGTAGATCTCAGCTCCCCTTTACTTTTTCCAGGATCCCCAGAGAAGAAAATACCAAACCGTATACCTCTACCTTTCTTCTGCTGTGCTGGGGTTGGGGATCGGGAACTGGCTGAGGAAACGGGACTGGCCAAATCTGCGTACATGTCTTCAGAGTCGGCACTGCGTACAGAACTGCTGCTGGAGGAGGCACTAGAGACAGAAGAAACGCTGCTCACGCTCAGGGACCTGGAAAGAGCCAACAACCCACTACAGTTAATGCAACAAGAACCAGGCAGCAATGGGACACTTTTGTTTTAATTCCCCTACTGTGCCCAAAAGGAGCGGCTGAGATGTCAGAAAGCTGCGAAGGTGAGCAGTGCCCAGGACAAGACAAAGGCTGCGTTTCCTGAGGTGCAGATGATATGAAAACCTCAGAGGTGTCAGATGCAGCTCTAGAAAATACTATCTATTTATAAACAGCATTAAGGCAACACTTCAACAGGTCTCTGTTCCCCCAGGTAAGCACAAAGTGACAGCAGCACTATCACGCGCATGTCAGCGCTAATGGCTCAGGTCAAAGGTTTCCCTGCAGTGTTTGTGTTGCGTGGTACTCGATTATTCATGAAGACTTTAAGAGACCTGGAGTCCTACAGCCCATACCTCCTGCACAGCACCCCAAGGTCCAGGAGAGCCCTGCTGCCTAGTCTGAGGATGCACAAACTCTCAGCTGCGATAATGACAGGGAAGCAAGCATCTCTATAAGACAGCTCATCTTATATGGGATTTACAAAATTCAAAGCTTTGGACAATCATCCTAGTCATTTCAGAAACCTTCTACCTAGCAACGTATCAGACAACAATACAGGGATATTCATGGGCGGACTTGCACTTTAGAGGGATGTCTCTGCTGCAACTTTGCTATACTGAAGTGGCTCCAAAACCACTGCCGTAGAGGACCAGGTGTCTGCTAAGTACATGAATATTTACAGAGCTTCTCAAGCAGGTTCTGCAGGCCATACCGAGTTCTGCACTCTAGTGACTGCCCTGCTGGCAAGATCTAAGCTCGCTAATTGAAAGCCAGCTTGTGTATGTCTGAACAGGCTGCAGCAACCGTGAGGCAGACGTGCCCTAGAACAAGTTACAAAGTCACTACCTGCAGGTATTCTGACAGAAACCAAGGTCTGAAAGAAGTTCTAAACGAAGGCCACGACGGTGACTCCGTGAGCCAGGAATTCCTTCCCTGGGAAAGGTCCTGGCTACAGGATTGTGTTGGTAAATCTGGCTTGGTTTGAGCACAGATCATATTGCTCTTGCTGCAGAAATGCTCTGGTCCCAGAATCCAAGTGGGCACTGTGTTTCAACAACAGCACACACACAGTTAGCTTCAACCAGCAACAAACACTAAAGCTGCCAGCCAGCTTTTCTTTCATACTTTAGCAAGAGTACTACTCACTGTCCTTTTCTGCCCTTACACCCCATCTATACGTGTTGCATGCAGAAAGCAAGCTTCAGGGAGCAGGCACCTCCTCCTCCACACACCTGTAAAAGCAGCAAGCACACCTCGGTACCATATGAGCAACATCTGCAATAGTTTTTCACATTTTCTTCCTCTCAGCTCCCCTTTAGGGCACAGTAGTGCAGAGCAAGCATGCCCGAGTGCTCTCCTCTTGCATCACCCTTGCCTCATCTGATGAATGAGACAAGCATGCAGTAAACATGTTTGCATTTCCGCAAAATAACGCGGAAGTTCAACCTTGGAGTTTTGCAGTGTTCGGACATGTGAATTAGCACCAGTCAGAACCAAGCTCTGTTTTATCCGCTATTTTTAGACTACAGTAAGTCTACTTTTAACCCTACACTTTAAGGCAAGGAAGCATTGTGTTTAAAAGCTACCTGTGAGGTTTTAGAGATTCTTGTGTATCAACAGATGCAAAAAATCTGAGTGAAGGGCTTGAAAGGGGTTTATTTCTTGACTCTTTCCTGCAGTTAGTTAGCTGTTTACAAATCCCACAGACTAACAGACATTTAACTATTCACTTGAGGCTAAACACAGAAGAAACAGGTCATGCAACTTTACCAACAAAGGAAAAATGCCATTAAGGCCCAAAACCTGGGCCTTTTAGGTATTTTCTGACCTACTTCTAACTGACAGGCCAAGCATCCTCCCTAAGGACGTTCAAGAACTGGAAGCGGTAGAGGTTTAGACTAGCAAAGCTCTATAGCATGAAACTGTTACCTTGTAAATTACGGATTTTTTTTTTTCCCCCCTCAGCAAGATAAAATGTTAAATTAAAAACTGTCAATATGGAGATGACGTTTTGATCATAATTTAAGTAAAAATAGACAGTTCAGCCCACATGAAGGATCATTTCCTTGAATAAGCCACACAGACACTATCAATATTGTTCTACTTTCACAATTCAAGACTCGGGATTCATAACAATATATGAACGAACAACCTTATTTCAAGTCCTACTTACCTATAGCTTCAGTATTTTACCCTGGAGAGAGTTTTTGTTGCAGGAAGCCTCAAAAGTTACAAATAGTTATAATTTCCTGCTACCTTGACAAAGGTTATTAACGGTCAAGGCTGTACCTGGATTTCCTGGACCCAGACGGGGAGTGGGAGACCGAGGCAGACGTCGATCTGGAATGAGATCTGGAGAGAGAGCGAGACAAGGACCTAGATCGGGAACTGGAACCACTATAGCTGCTGGCACTGCCACTGATGCTGCCACTGATAGTCCGTCTGCAACACAGCAAAAAAAAAAATCTCACCTGGCTGCACTCAGCACTAAAGAAAGCAAGGTTAGAAAAAACCCCAAACTTTTAGGGACAGTTTGAGTGTGATGCTGAAAAACACCTGTCCCACATCATGTAAAAGAACAGTGCTTTGCAGATGTAATTGTTTCAGGTGTTCTTCTCAACAATGCTTTCTCGTCCCTCAGCTGGCATCTCACTTCTGAACAGCAGACATTTTATGCAAGACTGAGTGATGCTAATTAAGAGCCAGATAAAGGATGAGCTAAAGCATCTTAATCCTGCACTGACACCAGTGCAAATACTTCCTACAATGAAAAATTGCTAACTGCATAACACAGTAGGATGATCTTTTGTTTCAGGCTATATTATCACACACATTCCTTGTGACTAACACACCAGTACTAACAGAAATAGCGCTGGTCTTCTCATTCACACAGCAGGGAACTGGTAGGGCAGTGGAGTTTGTGTGAGTATAAGCAAGAAAAAAAAAAAAGATAAGAATAAAGACTAATTAAAAGTGGTCTAAAGACATCCAACATTAACTAGTTAAAGCGAAATAATATAGAAAAAAGTGAAATAATAATATAGAGTTAAAGTGAAATAATAAAAAGACATAACAGCTCAGCCCGGGACTTTTCTTTAGCTACTGGGAAGAAACAGGACATGTAATCCCATGCAACATTAAGAACCGAGGCTTCTAAAAACCTGAACGGAAAACAGACTCATGGCCGCCTTCAAGAAACACTGATAAAAAGATGCCATGCAGTTATCCAAGCAAACCAAAGTATGCCTTACTAAAGGCATAAAATAGTCTTGGTCTTCTAACGTGCCTATAATACAAGCATTTATATTAAATAAAGGCTGCTGTTTTTTTTCTTACCCGCTAAACTGCTTCCACAGACTAGAAACACAGGTACTGTACTGCTATTTCAAAACTTCTAATGTAAAAAGAATGCATCATGAATTTAAGCTGTGCTTAGCTGATTCAGTGTCCCTCCAAGAACAAGCAATGCTATCTTCCTTTTTTCTGTAACATTTTAAAATACATATAGTGGATTAAGCATGATAAGCATTTAAATATGGACAAGTGCTGCTTGCTTGAAAACCATCAGAAGCCCCTCTCATTCCGAATGCAAAGGGAGCAGAAAATGACAACAAAAATGATTAGAGGACAGAGAAACCAAGTCTCAAACATGCAGATAAGTCACACAGGACTAAGCCAGAAAGCGAAAGCAGAGCAGTACAGCTGCATACTGGGGACTCTGAAGTAGAGGAGTTCTTCTCATCTCTTCCGGTTTGACTGCTGGATGGCTGACAAACCAACTCCTGGGACCACACAGTAGAAATACGTTTTTTCTTCTCTCTTTGCAGACGCTGCCTTTTGGCACGTTTCATGTTTTCTACGTACTTCATTCACTCAACTGGCCCTTTAGAGAGGAGCTGAGGCGAATCACTAGCCGTTCATCCCCTACCCCTGCCCTCTCTTCCCGTTTCCTTCCTGCCCCAGGAAACGGATTTCTCCTTTAATACGGAAAAGTCCTTGCAAATGGTACTGCAGAGAGAAAACCCAGACCTCAAATCTCTTCCAGGAGAGCAAGCCTCACTCCACCCCAGCTTTCCTACCTCCTGGGTGGAGTCCTGGTCTGACGTTCCTTCCTTCTTGCCTCTCTATTATCCCCTGGTTTGGCTGGCTCCGGCGCAGCTGCTGTAATTTTAGTGAGTGGCTGAGGGACTGGAAGGGCAGCTAGTTTCTTCACAGACTTTTCACTACAAAATTAAAATATTTATGTGCATGATCAAACTCAGTAGGCACAGAGCAGATATTTTCAAAAGTCGTGAAAGGCACCCCTATTTGTTACTGAATAAACCACTGAACTGCTGCAGCTAGAGACACTTGGAAAGGATAAATCCTGCTTCACCACAACACTCAAACAATAAGGATTCCCTTTAAGGGTTCTGTTTACTAGCATAAATCAAGTCACCTCTTCAGAGATGATGGTCAATTTTGAGGACAGCCTACTTCATTAGTTAATTTACATGTAAAACATGCGGAATCGTTGTTGTTTCATATTCTTATCAATTCGACTCTACGCATTCTTACCCAAAACAGACATACCCACTTTTAAACTGTCGGTCAGGCTTCAAGATCAAATGCATGCAGTTTACGCAAAAATGCTCTCTTCACTCCTTCACACTGATTAAGAGGGTGCAAAAGAGCATGTTTGTGCAAATGCCAACACCTGTCCCTTGTCTTGCGTTACACTGTAGAATAAGTAACAGGTAACACCATCACCGACTGCTGCTACGCAACATTTTTGTGGTTTTATATAGCACCCACTACATGAGATAGAAATCAATCCAGTTCTTCAGTGCTGCTCATTTCTGGGCTCAGAGCACTCCACTCTTTAGTCTAATAGTTGGTTACTGCTCAAAAGCCCCAGCAGTGATGTCACACCTGCTATTAACTGGGGAGGAGGCTGCTGCCTGCATACAAAAAAAACAGACACTGTTAATTCCTCCTTTGCGCTTAAGAATATCTGCATTCATCCCCTGCAGAACACAGGATTAAGTGCGTGCAGTGTTACGTAGGGAAAACCGTCTCCATGCTAGCACAGGCTGCTGGCTCGTGTTGTTGGTTACCAAACCAGCACTGCAATGCTCGCCTGTTGCTGCAGGCAGAGCGAGACCTTAAAAAGTTGACCCCTCCAAGTTGAGGGGACAAAAAAGCAGGTCAATAAGGTACAAGAAGTGTGGCAGAGAGTGTTGTATTATATTCTGGAGAATCCGGGGGATTCTCATGGTGTAATTTATTTGCAGGTCACCTTTAAAAAAAAAAAAAAAAACACGGTGACATAGCTATAGTGTTGTGACACCCTCCAACACATCCATAATTTACTATTTATAACAGAAGTTTGTGAAATAGCAATTTCAAATATTTAGAAAAGCATCATCTGCTGAACAGTTTCATTGCTATGGTGCTTGCTTTAATTTGTCTCCAACATTAAAAGTAGATGAGGCTGAATCATGTCTTTATTCTAAGGGTGTGTATTGACTAAAGCTACAGAAGATCAATGAATTAAACTTTCTTACAGCTCCTGTATAAACTTATCTGTACACAAAGAAAGTTTAAATAGGACATCAGGCATGTGTTTAAACACTCGCATATTCATACAACAGTTAAGGATACTTGTACAGTTTAACTTGAATCTAGTAAGTGGAAGTGCCATCGTTCATCAAACACTCCAAGCTAAAAACTCTTCTATACAGGTCATAATTTGCATTTTCATTCTCTTCCTTGAAACTGTCAACCAGGTCAGAAGGGGCTGAATGAGGTCACCAGATCTGGGGAACCAGGCGACTGTTTGGAGACTTTTCTGCACTGTGTTATCAAAATAGGTATGAAGCCTTACCCTTTTCCAGCAGGTGGTAATAACTCCCCTTTAGCTTTCACAAGTGGCTTGTGTGGAGAAGGCGTTGGGGAAGGAGACGGTGAAGATGAGAAGGACCGTGATCTAGGAGAAAAAAAGGACACAGTCAGCTCAGTCTTTGAGAGGGGAGAAGGCTTCCCTGGCTTTTGCATCTTAGCCACAACTCCTTCCTTAGACTAGTGACTACGTTCCAGGAATGAGTGGGTCTAAACTTGTCCTGTTTTTGTATCTGGACTCTGGAGGTTTTGGACTTGCGAGTTTGGCATGATTTATTTAACGTGACTTGTGTTCCCTATAACTCCTAGTGCAGTCTCCACTATTTTAGATAGCAGCAAAAACCTCACAGGAAAAAGACACAAAGTAAAACTAACTGAATACCTGCAATCTCTGGAATGCAAGGAGGAAAAAAAAAAAAAATCAAGCAGAGTATAACAAAGCCAACAGATCAAAAGGCAAGAGCTGTTTCCTAGATCAGGACTGACCAAGGAGGTAAGCCACTTAGATACCACACCAGATACTGGCGTTCAAGTGATTCACCCTACTGCGAAGCCTAGCAGTATCCTCCTTGCAGTCTAGTGCTTCAGAGAACCAGACACCTTAGTGACCTGCATAACTGAGCTAACAAAGGTTTTTCAGAAAGCATTTAGAGCGTTCCTCACTCACTCGCCCTCGGAGAGAGGAATGTTAATTCAAGTGTGCCAAACTGAACGCTCACGTACGCTTGGCATTGTCCCGCAAGGAACAAGGCGGTCGGGGCTGACGTGGGGTGGATGGGGGAAAGTCAGCCTCTTTCCTCCAGCTTACCCAGGAGCGCATACGTACATGCTTCTAGAACAACTCCCACCTGAGTCTTTACTAGGAGAAACCACCCATCCAAATGACACTATGCACTCCTATCAACTGGGCAATCCATTTTGAGTCTCTGTGTGATTTTAGCTCTGAAGTCTATCTAGGAAGATCTCCTACTACGTATATTCCAGATTTGGGAAACTGTCCACGGGAGCAAGGAGGTGGCAGGGAAAGAAGCACGCCTCTATTTAATCAGCATGGGACACCAAACTGTTGCTTTGAACAGTCAGGACTACCACAAGACAAAACTGCATGGACTGCTTCATTAAAGAAATGTGATTTGCCTCTTCAAATAGAAATTCCAGTGCAACACAAAAGAGATGCCAATAACTTTTTCCAATAATAAAACGCAAATGATAGAAACCCTAATAGAAGCCAGGCTTCTGCAACTGCTCAGTTACCACAGGTATGGGAAACAGCCCTGCTACAGCAGCATGGTACACGGGGGTGGGGGTACAGGGGAGAAAAGGGGGTGGCTCACCCATTTCCTTCATTCAACAACTGGAACAGCAGGCTGCCTTGCAGTCTCTCATATTTCCCTCACTCAGGAAAGTGGTTTGAATATTTTATTTCCAGAGTTGGCCATTCGCTTTTAAGTAGCACCAAAAATAGTTGCTAGTAAGTGACTGGAAAAGAGCGTACCATTACTTTCAAATCCAAAGAGATATTACCTGGATCTGCTGCCTGAGAAAGAACTGTGTCTTGAAGAGCGACTAGAGTAAGAGCTGTAAGAAGAAGATCTGGAACGAGATCGCGAGGAACCTGAACCAGAGTAAGTGGATGAACGAGAAGAGGACCTGAAAGAAAAATATTTAAATTCAGTTCATCTCGAGAAGTTTTCAGAGACCCAGTTCTTGTTTCCGGTATATTGTTCTAACAGCTCTCAATCACTGCTCCAGAAATTGTCTGCCTTCTCCTCAGGAGATGCCAGGACTACAGCCCCTCCTCAATCCCCATCCTTTTTTGTCCTACCTTTTCTTTTAGAACATGAACCTGTTGCTACTACCCCCTTGTGTCCTAGAATAGGCTTCCCTTCCTTCAACTAATGACTTGCCATCCCTTTTTGGGAAGTCACTTCCACAAAATTCTCCACCTTCTCACCAGACAATCCCATGACAGGTCATCCTGACCTAATGGTTACATGTTTAGGGGAAAACAGAAAAATCAAAGATGCAATGTCTCTAGAAAGCTACATCTACTTCAGGAGAGCTTTGCTTTTTAGAACCACATCTTCAATTCATTGTGCTCCTCATTCCTTTCTGACACCTTTTTCTTCCTTTCAGAAGCCTCAAGTTCAAGTATTTAAAGAGAAGGGTTCCAGCTATGCCCCAGGTCTCCCAGATTTGGGATGCTTCTTTTTGAAAAGTGTTCTTTATCTCCATGCCCTGGTTTCCGTGCCCTACTGCAGCTCTTGAGGTCTCCTGTCAGTCTCCACGACCCCAGTTTTCCCCCCTAGTAGTAGCAGCAACAACATGCTCTTCCTGGAGTGGGCTCACTTCACCCCGCCAGCACTCCTGGAGTGAAGAGGCTCCCATTTTTACAGCTTCCAGGTTCTGCTCCTATTAAGATCAGCTTTCATCTAGGTGAGCTACTAATAACTCAGACCGCATTCAAGTCTCGTTTCCCTAAAGAACCCCAGATACTTTTCCAAAGATCTGCCTTTTCTTAGCCTTCAATAAATCACATCTCTTCACAGCATCCACAACGGTGCGTCTTCTTCGGTTTCCATCTCACTACCTACACGCCTTGGTCCATAGCTGTTATAGAGCAGCAAGACTTGTACTGCTTCCTTCTACTGATGAGTAGGAGTCACATCATATGCCCTGACACATAACAAGGCTTGGATGTAACGCGCTTTTCACCTTCACCTACCTCGAAGAGCCAGAAGCAGATGCTGAAGAAGCAGAGGTTTTTCGGCGCCTACGTGCACGGCTGGGAGAGACAGACACACCAAGTTTCTTTTTGGGGGACTTGGATCGGCGCCAGGGATCCTTCCATTCATCTGCTCTCTTTGACTGAGCGGTGGTAATTGTAGATGCCTCCTTCTCCTTCTTTGGTGGCTCAGGCTGACGACTGGAAAATAAAGATGCTTTAAGTAACCGGGATCCCTTTATACAAAAAGGCTAACAGAAACACAGGACCAGGAAGAGAACTCAAAAAACTCATCCTTTGTGCTAACAAACATCTGCACCCAGATCACTCCTGAAACAGGAATTCTATCGCTTTGCTCTTAAAACTCCACTGAAAGATATTCAGCATCATTTTTGGGTGATGAAATATCAGAACAGCTATCCTTCTGTAAATCAGCATTTACCACAGCATTGATCTCTAGTTTCATTTCCAGTGGACACAAAGAGGATGGCTGTCAAACGTTACCCTATGAAATATTTAGGCGTTAGAAAACTTTCATTCTCTCCTCACGTATCTTGTGGGTGGAGACCACTTTTCTTCAGAGATTATGTTTCCTTTCTAAGAAATGTTTTATTCTTGTTCAAAAACTTGAGAAGTCTCCAGAGAAGACCAGCACTAGGAGACTCCCAGCATGATACTGTTCACAGCTTGTTACTGCAGAGCAAAGAGTAGGCTCAGCTAGATTACACTTTTCCAGAAGTGTGGCACTCGAAATAAAGCCTCCCCAGCACACAGCAGGGTAGAAAAGTCTCATTTCTCAATTGTGCTGCTCCAGTTACTCCACTCCAGGATGAGACCTACTTTGGACATCTCCCCAGACAGCTAATGTTCCGCCTGCAACTGCCAGGCATCGACCCATCCCTGTGCTACTAGCCAGTCCCCTCTGGATTTTAGTTTTTCCCCTCTGAATTACAGTGCTTGGCACCTTGCTACCTTTTCTGACTTGCCTTTTTTCCCCTCCCTTTTCTTTCTTTCTTTTCTTTTTTTTTTTTAATTTAAAAAGCGTGGTCTGAAACCAATGAATATAAATTCAAATCGGTTTTGTTCTCCAAGGTGACTGCAAGCCCTTCAGAACCACAATACCTGCAAGTTTTGTGAAATACTTTCTCGCACTGACCAAGCGGTAGCTGGCCAGCTGATTTCAGCTTCAGGACTTTTCCTCAAAGGAGCAGACACAGGCATATGCAAGAGGGAAGGGGAGCTGAAAGCCTGCCTCTTCTTCCACCTGTGCCACATGCTTAGAGCTGGAAGAAACCCAAAACTGGTAGGCAGCCCCCAGTGCAATCAAAATACCAACAGAACTAGACTGAGGCCACACTTTGAGTGCGCATCTGAAACACCTTCCCGTCCTGATACGGCACGCTGCTGGAAACAACCAGTAGGCGCTAACAGAAGAGATTTAATCTGGACTACTTTCCCATAGTTTCCTTATAAGGATAACACGTGACATTCTGTCACGAGCCTTACTGTAGTCAAGACACATTGATTTGTTTTTACCCTTACTGATGGGCTGGTTACCCCATTACGTGAGCATAAAACAGTTCAAAGTGACTGTTTTATCACCATAATATGCTCTAGGTGCTTATAAACCGATGGTCAAACACGTGCTCTAGTGCCGTTAATAACCACGAAGCTTTGACAAGGCAGGCTACGTCCTCCCGATCTCGTCCCTCCCCTTTTAAACGCTCTAATCACATCCAGTGCTCTGGGCTTCCGTTCTCCTCTACGGCCCTTTAAAAACAATCCCGTGCTAACTTTTCTGTCTCTGCACTGGCTAGTTCCTTAAGTACTCCAGGGTGAGTTTCTTCAGGCCTAGACTTAGTTACATCTGTTATCCATGGATGATTTAACTGGGGTTTTTTCCTCACCCTTATCCTAACCTGCATGTGACTGGTCAAGTACCTGTTCATAGCCTTCTCTGTCAGGTTTTAGGCAAAGTTTATCCTTGTTCAGAGGTTTACGATGTCTATTACACTCATCAAATTACGAGTATAATTATGGGTTTATTCCTTTTCCCAAAATAATGAACTCTCTCACTCTGAGAATTTGGGGAGCGTGGGGGAGGGGGACGCACCTTCCACCTCTAGGTTCAGCCAGTACCTCCCTATTAGTCACACACAACTATAAAGCAACCACTCCCCAAGCAACTTCCTCTACCTTTTGAGATAAAAAAGCAACCTGCAAGTTTTCTAATAATTCTACGGAGTGCACTTCTTGCCACAATACCTTTTCAACAGGCAATCGGATAATTAACGCTCCCCATTAGCAGCCTGTTCTGCCCTTTGAAGGCTTCACTAGTCACTAACACGTTTCATCCTCTCCTTGTTTAGGCAGTATCGAACAAAGCCTCAACACAAAGTTACCAAAGACTTAGGGACAGCAGAAATGTGCGCTTCCCCCCCACCCCCGTTCTTCCCTGACTCCACAACTTGCATATATTGACTTTAAAGTACAGCGCAGCATTCCACCCTTTTCCCATCTTTCCTGATCTAACTACTCCAGTTCTACAATTTGTCCCACATCTGCCCCAACACCTAGCATTTCATGGCGGGAGAAATTCTTCTTTCATGTTCACCTGTCCCACAAATCTCATTCTGGGCTCAGAAGAGGACGCTTAGTACACAAAATTGCCGACTGTCTAGGAAGAGTCCCAAGCAGGATTTTGGCTCTGCATTATCCACCAGCATCTTCACTTAGCACCATCATCCTTTTCCAGCGCTGCTCTACCATGTGCTACTCAACACAACATACGTTACTTGCAGTGGCTTGATCTAGTTTTTCATACTACATCCACAGCTATCTGTGAGTGTCTAATTGGGGATGAAGATGACGACTCTGAATACAGGGTTGGGATGGACTAGATGTGCTATACTCTGTTCCTGGCTTTGACTGCCTAGCATTATCAATCTCTCATGCCAACAGATGCAGCACAAACTCATCATGAGGTTGTCTTGACCTCTAGAGCATCTTCAGAGCAACTAAGCACAAAGCAGGAAGAAAAGAAGGTAGGGGTACAGTCTACACACTTTGCATCAAACAGTAAGTTACAGGGCACCAGGAGGAAGGAGGAGAGCACCACGTGAAGATGCTAGCGAATAATGCTTAACCACTTCCTGCTCTAAAGTCCAGCTTGCATGCTTTGGGAGATGCCGGGGGGAATATTCTGCTGGAGCAGGTGGGCAGAGAGGCAGTTTCCACCTCGAGAAATGGACGAAATCTGCTGAGAAGCGTTTCACAGCACAGTGTCAAAGATGACAGACACGTGAAAGATTCAACACTAATGAATGTCCTAGCCCTTCTTCCAGGCTCAACTCTCTCTTACAATAGCTTTCAGAAAGGTCTCCTCCAGAATTAATTCTACGTCTTCTTCTCTCAAGAAAAGACAAACTTGCCCACGTCCAGGTCCAAATGCAGCACATCCCAGAACCTGGGCCTTGGCTCAAACCCTACATGAGGACAACTTACACTTAACTCTACAACCTGGGCACGAGGTTGGTACAAAGATGACTATGAAAGCAAGTATCATTACTTGCACCTACTACCTGGTTTGATGCAATTCCCTCTTGATGAGGTCACTCTCTGGAGGAGAGGTTTTTTCCCCAGGAAAACCACAACAGAAAGCCTCATTTCTGGATATGCTTTGGCTATTGACTCAGCAGTAAATATGTCACTGTACTATAGTCAAGAAAGAAGGATGATGCTCACGTCAGGACATTTTCAAAGTCTTTCCTCAAGAGTTACCTGCGTGCCCAACATGTAGCATCACCAAATAAACTTGCTGAACTTAAGACTGGTATCTGCTACCGTTTGGCTTTTTTCCCCTCAGCCGAATTCAAGAGCCAGGGATCAAAGTAAGCCTGGGTAACTATCAAGATCTTCACCATCTGCCTTACAGTAACATCTCAACTGCAACCTGTAAGAGCTTCACTGAAGAGATCTATTAAAGTCTGGTAGCCCATGAAACAGTCTGCGTTTCAACCAAATTTAGTCCTGCCTACTGATACTGTGCAGTTCTTGGGATGAAAGCAGAGGAAGCCTCTGCTCACTAGGTAGGTAGGTAGCAGAAAGCTCACTGAGAAAGAGAAGGCAAGCAGCAAACCTACGGCCCTTAATGCAGATCAGGCAGGAAGGCTGCACAAAATTAACTATGCCAACTACAACAACTGCTCACGGAACTGCACGTTAGGTGGATTTAACAATTTATTTTACTCTGAGAATGGTAGTCTTTCTCCCTCACTTACACTCTTATGACTGGGTAACTTTCACTTCTCACCTTGCTAGACCCGGCACTTGTTGGAGCTCTCCATGAGCAAGATCAACTTCTTAATTCGATAGGGAGGGAGAAAAAAAAAATAGTAGTTTCCTGCTGGGTCAGCGAGTAAAGGGTATGAACAACCGCTGGAGCTGACACAAGGCAAAGAGGGGGGAAGGAGAGAAGCCTCACTGTTTTGGTGTGGTGAGCCATGAGATCAACACACCCACCTTATACAAGTTCATCTTCGGACCAGCACAGTTACCTGGGGCCAGTGCAACCCAAGCTGCAGGCAGTCGCTGCTTACCCCATTAGGGTCATCAGATAAGTAGTCCACGTGCAACAGAACTACCAAAGCTTGCTTTTTATTGGGGATTTTTGCCTCTTGGTTGACTGACTCTGTACAACGTCCTTCCATACCTTTTGCATGCAAAGCCATCCTGCTCTGCTCCCCATCTTCCTCTTCTCCCCCTCCCCCCCCCACTCCCCTGGCTGCTTTGGGGACAATAAGCTGGCTTATTTTCAGCACAGAAAGTGGCTCAGAAAGAAGTCATATACCACCAAAGTACGTGTGTAAATCCAGGTTTTCTTCATCAACTTACAATTTTTAGGAAACGTGTAGGAATGGCTTTGGGAATTAACTCCCTAATTAGGTATGCCTGTGCTAAGAGGTTAAAAAATTAGAGGGAATAAAAGAGACTGACATGACAGACCGATCAAAAGCAGCTTCATTTCCTTACAGAACCCAGAGCTGCAGCACCCTGCGTCACCCTGGGCACGAACAAGGTCTGCAGAGCTTAGCTATTTCCGAAGCTCGTTTTAAACTTGAAATAACTAAATGCTTTATTTTCCAGAACGAGCACATTAATGCATATTTGGCTGGAATTTAATTACAGCAATCAAGTGAAGA